GATATTTCAATCATTTTCTTAGTAAATAAGTTATAAATATATTTCAAAATGTTTGAAATTGATAAAATACTGTTTACGTCTAATGCCCTGTTATGATATGGCCGTCAAAAAACTTATCAAATATTTTTTAATCACGAAAAGTTTAAATACATATACATTAGTTTGATACATTTAGCAAATTAAACAAAACTTTTTAATTAAAAAACAAGATTTAATTTAATTTATGACCTCATAAATAACTTATTTATTTACAACTTAAAAGTTTATAATCTTGTGTGTTTAAATTATTTGTTATAATTTTAATTAATATAATTTTTAAATTTAATTATATAATACCATGATCAATTTATAGGTGACATCCACGGCCAGTACTACGACCTGTTGCGACTGTTCGAGTGCGGAGGCTTTCCACCCGAGGCTAACTACCTATTTCTGGGCGATTATGTCGATCGGGGAAAGCAGTCCATCGAAACCATATGCCTATTACTGGCCTATAAACTCAAATACCCGGAGAACTTTTTCCTGTTGAGAGGCAATCACGAGTACGCCTCCATTAACCGCATCTATGGCTTCTACGATGAATGTATGCTATTCTTATATATTATCAGGATCATTCAAGAATTAACCCGATGAACATGAATTTAATTTTATATTAAACATGATATATCGGTGATTTAGTAATATTTAATTGTATAGATTTTATTAAATATTACTAGCATATGAGTTATTTAATAAGAATCAAGATACTTTCATTGATAAACTACCATCTAGATAATTTTTAAATTTTTTTTGAAAATTTTAAAGTATACAGATACACATACTGTTATTCAGTACAAATACTTTATGTACTAAAGTTTACTAGTAACTTAAATCCACAGATTAGTTTATACCCACTTATTGAATGGTCCATAAAATGCTATTATTTTCTAAATTAATAATAATTTTAATAATAATTTTNATTCAGTACAAATACTTTATGTACTAAAGTTTACTAGTAACTTAAATCCACAGATTAGTTTATACCCACTTATTGAATGGTCCATAAAATGCTATTATTTTCTAAATTAATAATAATTTTAATAATAATTTTAAATCCATTTGTTTTGAAAGGCAAACGACGCTATAATATAAAGCTATGGAAAACATTCATCGATTGTTTCAATTGCCTTCCGGTGGCGGCCATTGTGGACGAGAGGATCTTCTGCTGTCACGGAGGGCTCAGCCCTGACCTCCAGTCCATGGAACAGATCCGACGCATACAACGGCCCACCGATGTGCCCGACACCGGACTACTGGCCGACCTGTTGTGGGCCGACCCCGATAAGGACATCAAGGGCTGGGGTGAGAGCGACCGGGGCGTGTCGTTTATGTTTGGGGCCGATGTGGTGGCAAAGTTCCTCCATAAGCATGATATGGACTTAATTTGCCGGGCTCATCAGGTATGTGAAACATATCCAGTTGCATAAAATTTCTAATTACAATAACTGTGTCTACAATTTACTTGTTATGATAGTCTCGTAGTACTAAATTAATTATGATAGATAGTAGTATGACTTTAGCAATAAAAAAATTTGATTTAAAATTTATTATTAATTATAATTGTTTATTTTATATTAATTGCTAGTACAGTTTAACAATTATGCTTTAATTATGTGCCCAGTAATCGACAAGTATTCATTAACTCTACTTCATATGACTATTCGTTGCTGTCTAATTATATAAATATATTATAGTATATTATGAAAGTATATTATAGTATATAATAGTATATTATGAAAGCTGAGGTTGAATTATATTTGTCGATTACTAGGTCCACATTATTCTCGATACAAATAATGAATTATGTTTATCATGTGTTTTGTTACAAACTGACAGGTGGTTGAGGACGGGTACGAGTTCTTTGCCAAACGCCAATTGGTGACCATATTCTCTGCGCCCAACTATTGCGGGGAGTTTGACAACGCGGCCGCTCTTATGACAGTCGATGAGACCCTCATGTGTTCATTTCAGGCGAGTATTTTCATCCGGATCATTGTAACACAAAGTCTTTGCCTTCCAGTCGTGCCTTTACAGTGATTATGGATCAGCTATTGGGTGATAGTGTGGACAGTTGGATGTGATGCCGATGAGCGCGCACTCACTCGTGGATTTATGACCATGCGCATATTAATTTTTATTAGTTTATAAACCGTGTATTGTTTTTGTATTAATTATGTTTTGTTCATATTTTTGTTTTGATTAGATATTGAAGCCCATGAATAAGAAGAAATATAG